GAACTTGATAATTCTTTTTTTTTATTTCATGTTTGTGTCAGATTTTAATTTTGTTTACGTTTTTTAAAATGTAAAACACGCTGGAAGCGTCGATTATTTGCTTCCATCTTTAATGTTACAATCAATACACTAAACACACCAATTTTAAAAATGAGAAAAAGTACGCTGATTGGACAGTTATGGCAGTTTAATCAAAAACTATCTCTTTAATGATGTTATTTAAAAATAAAAAGTCCTTAATTCTATATAATGACTAACGAAACAAATTTTGGGCTCGACTTTTTCCAGAACATATTTTTACCTCATTATTTATCGTTTTCTATAAACGTTTACTATTTGTGTTAGTATATTGATTAATTGATTGATTAATTTATTGATTGATTGGTTGATTGATTGGTTGATTAATTGATTGATTAATTAATTGATTGAGTGATTGTGTGATCGATTAATTGATTGATTGATTGATTGATTGATTGATTGACTGATTAATTGATTGATTGATTGATTTCTTTTTTTAGGATTTATCAACACTTTATGCATTACTTACATTGTTCGGACTGCTGTCCTCATCTTTATTGCCATATTCACGATGTTTTGGCCATTGTACACTCCAGCCTTCTTCAGGTGACTGGAATTTCTAATTGAAAGTTTTATTTCGTTTACCAGGGTAGATTGTCCTAGTTCCACGTGCCATAACTCTTCCCAATGTCTCAGTTATCTCCCTTTAACTCAACTCCCCATGTTTCGTTCGCCACTGCTGTAGCCTGGTATTGATCTCACAACTCTTTGGCTCTAGTCATTGGAACTAACCAACGTCTTTATCCACGGATGTCACATGACCCAGCGGATAAAGACATTGGTTAGATCCAATGATCTAAATAAGCAGACATAATGTTTGTAATTTATTCAATCAGACATGCCATATATATTTTTTTCATTCCTAGGAAGAACAGAAAATGAAGGGAAATAACCGGACTGTATATTCATCATTCTTTCAGCCTTTTCAGTTTCATTTTTCAACCTACTCATTATTTAGTTGTTCACTTTTTCTCGAAGTGGCCTGTCCACATAATTTATTTCGTCCACAAAGAAGGTTTCTGTTATACTTTTGATCTGAGAGTAGAGAGGTTCGCCTATCGTCCACTTCACAATCCTCCCCAGTCCTTTGATTAGAAATAGAGGTTTATGCCTTGTTTCCTGCTAAGCATTGGGTTTCCGGTTCGTTCTAATGTCTACTTCCACTCTAACTTCTCTAAATGAACTCTGAAATATTATTCACTAATTAAATCTTGATCTGTTCATCTCTAAAGTTAGCCTTTATCTTTCACTCATAGCCCCCAAAGAACTTCTTTTCCTGCCTTTCGTATTGTTCTTTGGATCAAGTCACTGGATACAAGCATGGCACGTGGAACTAGAATAATCTACCTGGTGAACGAAATAAAGGGTCCAGTTCGAAATTCCAATCACCTGAAGAATGCCCGGACGTACAACGGTCGAAACCTTTTGAATATGGCAATAAAAATGAGGACAACAGTCCGAACAATGTAAACAGTGTAAATAATTATAATATCTCATCACGGAAATATAGACAGACTTTGTGCGTTATGTAAAGCCGAAACATATTTTGGCATTGTTGGAATAATTCTTTTCTGCGAGTGAATAATGACTTAACAATTTTTTGGCGGATGGGGGGATAATGATTTTCCAGCGATGGATTCATATATTTTTCAAGGCTATTTGTTAGAAATTGAATGTAAGAACTCAACTGCGATTAGATCTCGGCTCTCTAATTTCTTATTCCGAATCGATATCCTTTACACCACCGGCACACATCTTTGTTCTAGCACAAGGTCCCAAACACGTGACACCCGGTGAGGATCGTACAATTGCTTTGCCAAAAGTAGTTTCCATTGCTTCGCAACGGGGTCATATTCTTACGCTAACGCTGTTTTTATATGCCCTGGTGTTGGGATTTGCTAAGCTTAGTTTATGTTGTAACCTAGAAAGTGTTACTGAATATTGAATACTCACCAGCGGTGTGAAGTAGGTAAACCACTGCTAGTGGCGGACTACTTAGCATATTACCCCCACTTACAATAATGTCCAACGTATTTATGAGGATTGGGACATACCAATTAGTGTTCTTAGGTACGGTATATAACAAATAATATAAAAGAATGCCTACTTTTATAATCAGATTAAATTGAATGACAAGAGAAGACATTTGACTCTCTCTCTCCCATAATGTTTGTTCTATTTGCATACACATTTCATAGACTAAATGGAACAATTACTATGGGACAAAGGTAGGATAATGTTGTAACCTAGACTACTGTGACTACTTAGCATATTACTCCCCACTTACAGTAGTGTCCAACGTATTTATGAGGATTGGGACATGCATGTTAGTGTTCATAGGTACGGTATATACCCCCCCCCGCTTTTTAGATTTACTCTACATTTCGGGTCAATACCTCATCCTCGTTGCCAAAATGTTGTAACCTAAGAAGGGTTACTGAATGAGGAATAACCAAAACGGTAGTTGAAAATGAAATGGTAATATTTATAGTTTCAACAAAATACAATACTCGCCAGCACCATGAAGTAGGTAAACCACTGCTAGTGGCAGACTACTTAGCATATTACCCCCACTTACAATAATGTCCAATATATTTATGAGGATTGGGGCATACCCATTAGTGTTCATAGGTACGGTATATAACAGTTTATAAAGTGGAATCGCTAAGTGAAAATTGAGCTTATTAAAAGAGTAATTGTGTGACTAGCTCGTTAATCATTACACACTTGTTGAAGCACTCTGTATTCTTTTCTGTAGTTCAAATCATTTTTTTAATTTCTTGGTCAATACATAAAAAGTATGAAATCGCACACATAAAAATATATACGAGTACACTTGATTAAATTGTGTATATAATTCCGAACAAAGAGTTTTTGATCTCGGAAGAAGATGGTAGAAGGAAGATTTCAAAAATCAAAATGGTTCAAAATAAAGAGGTTCTGAAAGCAAAAAAAAAAATTATACTTATTTGTTGTACGGTGATAAATTTGAAACACCAACACATCAAAAACAAACGCATCGTTTTTTGTTTTCGATATCTCGCTAACCAATGCACCAACACAAATGATCTGTCAAATTATTTTTTTTAAATGTCAGAAAATTATTTGTGAAGGAAAGAAAGAAAAGAGGAAAATGAAAATTAAAGAAAGAAAAATTGTGAGAGAAGTAACAAACCAAAAAAAAGAAGCTGTGAATATAAAAGTTTGAAGGGAAAACTGAAAAATCTAAAATGAAAAAAAATGGAAACGAGAAAAATATCAGGACTGAAACTATGGTTGTAAAATAGGAATGAAATTAAAATGTAGAAACAGTTACCTTTTTTAAAAAAAATGGCGGCGTTTTCGGCAATGATAGCAAAAATTAAGTAGAAGGAAAAAAGAAACGAAAAGTAGAAAAATAATAATGAAAAAGATTTGATTGAAAGATCTTTGCTTTCTTTTGTTGGGTTATCTTTTCTTTTATGCTTTTCTCCTTCTTTCTTTTCATTTTTATTCATCGTCAAAGTCTCTGTTTCAGAAAATAATGTTGTATGATAGAATGACGCTTCTCAAAAGACAAGTCAAGCGTCGCGACTGAGGTGGGAGAAGGACTTATGCGGACCGTTAATTACAAATAATGTCCAAAAATTAATTAATTATAATCAGTGTGTAAAAGTCGCTGCGCACAAATAATAGAATCCTTTTGAAACGTGAAAGGAAGAAACAAACAAAAAAATCAATATGGTCAAGCAAGCAAGGCAAAATGATGAAAATTTAAAACTAAGTAAACAACAAACAAAACATGGCGGAGGCGTACGAACAAAAACAAAAGAATGCTAAAAATGTATGAACTTCATTTTAAAAACGAGGAAATTTTATCAAAACAAAAAAAAGAGTAACAAAAGTAAGCAAGTCAAATAATGTTTAAAATGAATGAATATGATATTATCAGAAATTACGCAAAACAAATTAGAGATCAGAAATTGTTAACTTCCGAAACTTAACAAAACCTCTCTGATAAAATGGCGGTCCTTTTTCAGCTGATTGTTTTCTCACAATGGTCAAGTGATTTATGCTTTATGAAGAAGATATTTTTAATTAAAATAAAAAAAAAAAGAATTTTTAAAAAGTACGATTGCTGAGAAGTAAGATGAATTTAGGTCAAAAGTCTTGTGTCTCTTTTGTCAAGGTCATTTGATTAGCTGTCACTCTAAAGTCAGAAGTCTTTTCCAGGGTCAGACAGGATTGTGGATTCATTAGAGCGAAGAAGTGAAAAGCATTACGCTAAACAAGCATCAGGAAATTCAAAATGTAAAAGGTTGTCAACTCCACTGAAAAAGAAGGAAGCTATGTGGATGAAGCTGGATATTTATGAAGGGTCGTCAGCGTGAGCTGATACGCACACGTATATTTGTATGAATGTGTGAAATGGGGAGTGCTAGGCAAGAGAGATTGATTGATTTGTTTTTTACGACTTACCAACCCTTTGCTGATTATTTAAAGCCAGAAAATACTTTTAGGTTGTAAGAATATTTTTGCAGATAATATTGGTTTACTGATACAAGTCTTACTAATTAACCTATATCTAGGGGAAAAGATGCGGATTTATAACTTTACCAAGGATATTTACGTGTAAGTGAACCCGACATGAATTGGAAACTCGACGCTCCGATTTCCAATCACAAGCCGTCATTCATTACAGCACCTGCCTATACAAGCTTACGTGGTCTTGACATGACGTCTAGCGCCTTAGAGTTTGTTTTGTTTTTTTATCAGCCACTGGTTTTGGCAGATATATCTTGTCTCTACATACCAAATAACGACCCCTTATTTGTCACTTCACAAACTCACGGCACTTACCCACCCCCACATGAAGCCGACATGAATTGGAAACTCGACTCTCAATTCCTAGCCCTCATTCATTACACTACCTGCATATCCAGGCTTACAGCACATGGTATTCGCAAAAATCACCTATCTAGGTACTGACCAGGCTCAACATTGCTTAACTTCGGTGACCGTACGAGAACCGTTGTTTCAACGCGATATGGCCGTATTCTAGAAAAAAAAGAATATTTCTAGTTTACATTCTCTCTATTCTAGACATTATTATATTCATGATCTTGTAACACCTTAATCCACAGACGAAAGAGAATAGCTGATGAAAATGGATGAAAAACGTACATTCTTCTCAAAAAGATTTTTATACGGCTAGACCATATAAGAAACCATTTATAAATACTTTTCAGTAATTTGTCCCACACAGAGAAAATATAACATTGCTTTGACTTCGGTGGCCATATGAGAACCGCTGTTTAATGCGATATTGTGGACTCGTCCAATATCCTTACCTTTCCAACCCTAACAAAAGCACAGTCCACATCGTACGCCTACGTAACTAAAAAATGACTCATATTCGATCATTCATTAATCAACTCTGTGAACACTTTTCTCAACTTTGCTTATGTACAGTGAATTAAATTCACTACTTTAAAATAAGTAAACATCAACGAACATACAACATTACGAAAACATCAACTACGTTTAAGGGTAGATCACTCTAAAAAAAAACTCTTTCCAAAAGACACTTATAATTCATAATTACAATTATTGGCACAAACAAAAAGACAGCGAATCAACGAACAATATCAACAAAGAGACATTCACAAATCTAACAATAACATACACATTTCGTCCACACGACACACACTGATTATCCAATCTGTATATTGTTAAATTGTATATAAATGTTGCATTGATTTCTAAATTGTATATGTCTCGTTTTCAATTGCATTTTTGATTTCGTTTATTCATTTGTTTGGGATGCAGCAAGACACGCAACCAACTCAAAATTCCTTCTGATTCTTTCTCAAATAATTAACAACTCTGCACGTCCCCAACAAAATTGGCGACCCCGACGTTCCACCAAAAAAATTGATCACACCGACGTTCACATAAAAAAAAGTACAAAAAAAAAAAAAACCATCGCCAATAAAATTGGCAACTCAGACGTACCACCAACAAAAATTGGTAAACCCGACGTTCCAAAAAACAAAATTGACGACCACGACGTTCAAAAAGAAAAAAATTCGCCATCAATAACAAATTGATGACTCCGGCGTTCATATAGTAAAACCATCGACAACAAAATTGCCGACCACGAGGTTCGATGTTTAGCGCTATCAACAAAATAGGATAACCCGACGTTTCAACAAAAAATTCCATAATCCTAACAAACAAAACCAAATTAGTGGTAATTCCAAACGCGCGGGAAGAAAATAAATTGTCACGTGTTCGAAACAGCAGACCAAAAATACAGAAACAAGAAAATTCAACATCATAAATGGCTGATTCAGTTCCTATAACAGAAACGGCCATCAGACTGGAAATGCCTGTTTTTAACTCAAATGTGCAGACCTGGTTTTTACAATTGGACGCGATATTCCAGGCTAGACATATAACCTCACAACAATCGAAATTCGCGGCAGTTGTGGAGAAACTACCTGCAGAGGTAGCGGCTGAAGTAGCCGACATATTAACCTCTTTACCCATAAAAAAACCATACGAAACTCTCAAACAAGCAATACTACACAGATCTGGTTTTTCAGAAGAAAGGAAGATACGAGACCTTTTAATGAACGTTACGATTCGAGATGCAAAACCATCTCAACTACTACGACGAATGCAACAACTGTTGGGTGATAACGACATATCAACCACAGTATTCCGCCAAATGTGGCTAGATAAACTACCAGCAGGCATAGTACGAATTTTAGCCGCTTTAGCAGACGACATAGATATTCAAAAACTTGCAACAATAGCGGATAAACTAGCCGACACTACACCGATAAGACACATTTCCGCAACGGAGACAGTGGATGGCCTTGTGCCAGATGTTAACTGACAGATACAAAAATTGTCTTCGGAACTGCAAGAAATATCTATACAATTACGTGATTTAAAGAAATCACATACAAGTCGACGTGATAATTCTACGAAACACAACAAACATAATTCAAGATCAACGTCTCGGCATAAATATCAACAACGACGAGATCGTTATCAACACGCAAATTGTTGGTACCACGAGAACTTTGGCGCGCGCGCGAAGAAATGTAGACAACCATGTTCATATAAGAAGTCATTCCCGAGTAATCAAGCGGGAAACGGACACGCTGGCACCCAGTAGAGACGTTGGATGCCAGACATTTAAAGACTAATCGTCTCTTCTACATTCATGACAGAACGAGCGGGTTAAATTTTTTAGTCGATAACGGTGTCCTGCCTCAAAAGAATTGCAACAAATAAATTCTAGCCAAGCACACATCTTTTAAGTTGCAAGCCGCTAATGGCACACCTATCACTACTTACGGTGAACGAACTTTAACACTGGACATAGGTCTTAGAAGAGAACTCACATGGACCTTTATTATCGCAGATGTCTCAATGTCAATATTAGGAGCAGATTTCCTAACGCATTACAAATTATCAGTTGAACTAGCATCACAAACCTTAACAGACACGAGCACAAATATACAACGCTGCGGTTTTATTTCCAAATATTCAACAATCGGACTGACAACTATTATACCTACAGCCAATGGCTACGACGAGATAATACGTCAGTACCAATCACCGTCAACACGCAACGAACCTGTGAAACACCATGCCACACATAGTATCAAGACCACAGGACCCCCAGTTCATTCTCAACCACGCAGACTCCATCCTACCAAACTGAAAATAGCCCATGACGAATTTAATAACATGATCAAACTTGGCGTGATCCGTCCTTCAGCCAGTCCTTATGCCAGCCCTCTACATATGGTTACTAAAGCTGACTCAGTTAGTTGGCGTCCGTGCGGCGATTATAGATTATTAAACGCCCAGACTGTTCCGGATAAATACCCGATACCACATATAAAGGATTTCGCCCTTTCCTTGGAAGGTGCCAAAGTTTTTACCAAGCTTGATCTCAAAAAAGCGTATTATCAGATTCCTATCGAGGAGAACCACATTCCGAAAACTGCCATTACTACGCCTTTTGGACTTTTCGAGTTCACGAGAATGCCTTTTGGATTGCGTAACGCGGCACAATCTTTTCAAAGGCTAATTGACGACGTACTACGCGGAATGCCTTACACATACGCATATATTGATGACGTACTGATAGCAAGCAAATCTCATGCAGAACATCATGAACACCTACACGCTATTTAAAACGACTACAACATTATGGATTAAAACTGAACATTAACAAGTGTGTTTTTGCAGTGCCGAAGTTAACTTTTCTCGGACATATTATAGACCAGCAGGGATTGTCCCCCTTGGACCAAAAAATAACAGCAATCACTAATTACCCCCCCACACCACCACCACCACCACCTTCTACGTTGAAGCAATTGAGGAGATTTTTGGGGATGGTAAATTATTACCGACAGTTTATCCCAAATTGTGCGTCAATTTCACTACCGCTAACGAATATATTGTCTCTACGTAAGAAAAAAAAATCACAGATTTCGCTATCAAAAGACGAACTACAATCTTTTCAGAACGCAAAAGAAGCATTACAAAAATGTACCAAGTTAACGTACATTGATTCATCAGAAAAATCTAATCTCACCTTGACGACGGATGCATCAGCTGACACGATTGGCGCCGTACTACATCAAATTACTGATGACATAGAAACACCCTTATCTTTTTTTCTCACTAAAGCTAAATGCTACACAGAGAAAATATAGCACTTTTTCGAGGGAATTACTTGCTGTATATTTGGCAATACGGCATTACCGACACATACTCGAGGGAAGAGATTTTATAATTCTCACGGACCACAAACCGCTAACGTACGCATTGCACGCAAAAGCTGACAAGTTAAATCCGAGAGATATTCGATATTTAGACTATATTTGCCAATTTACATCAAACATTCGATACGTAAAGGGTCAACAAAATACTGTTGCGGATGCACTATCAAGACCCACACTCGACGCAATACGATCATCTCCACTCGAATTTGACACGCTTGCTGAAGAACAATTGAATGACGATACACTCCCTTCAGTACAGGCAGATACCTCGCTAAAATTAGAAAGACGTCCATTACCTTTCACTGACAAACTCGTTTATTGCGATACTTCAACAGGTAACCCTCGACCCTACCTACCTCCATCAAGGAGAAAGATAATTTTCGACTACTTCCATTCACCAGCTCACCCTGGAGCGAAGGCCACGCTGCGGACCATATCCGACAGATTCGCCTGGCCCGGTATGGCTTCAGACGTGAAACAGTGGTCGCGCACGTGCCAACGTTGCCAGGCAACGAAAATAAATCGCCACACTAGAGCGCCATCGTCAAGTTTTGCGGCCCCTGATGGTCGCTTTACCCATATACACGCCGATTTAGTGGGTCCACTTGACAGAATAAACGGACACGAATACATCCTGACGATTATAGATCGCTTCACGCGATGGCCGGTGGCTGTACCGCTAACAACGATAACGGCAGAAGCGGTAGCCAATGCTATTTTCCAAAATTGGATCTCCATATACGGATGCCCTGCGGTTATTACAACCGACAGAGGACCTCAATTCCAGTCGACCCTATTTACAGAATTTGTCAATTTACTGGGTATCAAACATATTTCTACTACGGCATACCATCCCTGCAGCAATGGACTAGTAGAACGTTTCCACCGACAGCTCAAGTACGCATTAACAACGTCTACCAGCGCTCGTACGTGGGTAGACAAGCTACCATTTGTAATGCTTGCGCTACGTAATACAATCAAACTAGACCTGAAATGCACTAGTGTGGAGTTAGTATTCGGAAAACCAACAACCCGACCAGGACAAATTTTCCACAACGTAACGAATTCTACTCCTACCAATTATTTTGTGGCCGACCTTAGGAAAAAAATCACAGACATAATATATACGCCCACTCGGGTTTGTAAAAAACCATTCTACGTGCCAACGGACTTACATTCCACAGAATGCGTTTACATGCGTCGCGACGCAGTACGAAAACCTTTAACGCCGAATTATACAGGT